TTTCATCTTTCAGGTTGAAATCTTACCCATCCTTCAAAGGTCATCTGAAATACTCTTTTCTCTGTGAAGCTTTTCTTGACCCCTTCCACCAGGAACGATTTCAGGTTTCTCTGAGCTCAGATGAGTATGGCACTTTACCCCTCTCAGGGCAACAACTTTCTGTGTTTTTTTTTTTTTTTTTTTTTCTACTTTCTATTATATTTTTCTTTTCTTTATTTTTTTGGTTTTGATTTTATTTTTGTTTTTATGTATGTGTCTTGACTTAGTTTTTGAAGGCAAAGTCTATTTCTTACTTATTTTTCTATTCCTCATTTTGCTTGTCACATGGGTGTTTTATAATAAAGGTGTTTGGTTTAGTTGAATATTTATTGAATGGATGGATGGATAACTGACATTACTGTCAAGATTTGTGCAATCTCTGTATATTTTATTTTTTAATGTCAATGTCTACAATAGAAGGCTTAATTATTAATCATATATTAAGTATATATGATTCTTGAGGTATGCTCTAAAGAACTAAATTTTCCTATTGGGGAAAAATCTACTGGACTTTTGTCTGGAGCATCTCAGCATCCTATTAGGTTATTCTTGAGTCATTTAATGTGATCACCTTTTTTTAAAGCTTGTTTATTTATTTGTGTGTGTGTGTGTGTGTGTGTGTGTGAGAGAGAGAGAGAGAGAGAGAGAGAGAGAGAGAGAGCAAGAGCGCAAGTTGGAGAGGGGCAGAGAGGGAGAGAATCCTAAGCAGGCTCTATGCTGTCAGCACAGAGCCCAACTTGGGGCTTGATCTCATGAGCCGTGGGATGATGACCTGAGCTGAAACCAAGAGTCAGATGCTTAACCGACTAAGCCACTCAGGTGCCCCATTATGTGATCGCTCTTTGAAGGTGGGTAGATAAAGGAAAAGGAAAAGGTACTTCTTTGGGGATGGCGTCCTGGGTCTCTTGGAAACGCCTTCATGCTTAGTATAACATTTCCAGGTTTTCCCTTGACTCATAGACGAAACCGGATTAGAGAAGCAGAAGCCATAGCCATGACGCTGGACCCAGTTTGGTGGTGCCTGCCTGTCCTGCTTGTGAAATTCAATCTGGAGTGTGGAGTTTCCACAGCTGAGCCTATTATCCCATGGACAGGTCTCTTGAGCTTTCTCTGCCTTTGAAGGTATTGTCTTTTCTTAGCCACACATGGTGAGCATCATGTTAAGCAAAATGCAGGGAACTCAAAGGAGGGATCAATGGAAAATGTCTTATGGTGTTATGTTTATTTGGGTTTCGTTGTCAAGTTTAAGTCTTATAATTTGAGCACGTGATCAGTTGGAGCTCTTAGTTTCTTACCAGCTTGAGCAGAGTTAAATGCCTCTTTGGGAATGGAATCCAGGTTTTCTTATATCCTTTTTAGCTACTGTTGTTGATGATGGTGTGGATAATCTAAGGGAAAACTCTCACGTAAGGAGATCCTGGGGTTATCCAGAATTTGGGAGTGCTTCAGACAATCCACCTATTTAAACTTGAATGTCCTACAGAAGATAGCATATCTTCATTATAGAAGACCCAGGGAAATTAAATTTGTTGCTGATTATCTGCTGGGCATGGAATCTGGCAGAGAGCAATTCAGTAATAGTCTTATTAAAAATCTCTTCCCAGGGGCACCTGGGTGGCGCAGTCGGTTAAGCGTCCGACTTCAGCCAGGTCACGATCTCGCGGTTCATGAGTTCAAGCCCCGCGTCAGGCTCTGGGCTGATGGCTCAGAGCCTGGAGCCTGTTTCCGATTCTGTGTCTCCCTCTCTCTCTGCCCCTCCCCCGTTCATGCTCTGTCTCTCTCTGTCCCAAAAATAAATAAAAAATGTTGAAAAAAAATTTTTTTTTAAATCTCTTCCCAGCTGCCTCTCCTCATCTTTCTTATACATCTTCTTCCCTCAGTCCAGTGATGAGCTAGCCAACAGGCAGTTGTGAATCAAGGTGAATGCTACATCTCCATTAAAAGGCAGGGCTCCTCCAATCCAGGGGTTGGGGGTGGGAAAAGATACCCACCACCAGCTGCCTTTCTGGAGTAGGAGCTCCAGACCAGGAGCAGCCTGGTTCTTCTTTGACCCGGTCCATAGGTACCTATATACCAAATGTGAAGCTCAAAAATAAAGAAGGTCCTATGTGCTACACCCTCCATTAGCTTGCATATCACTTTGTGGTTGCGTCCTCCCTTTCTTTGGGTCCCCTTTCACCCAAGCTCTGACTTATCCACACCAGCACCTTTCCACATAGAACCTGAAGGGATCACTTTGGAATCTTTTTCACCAGAAGGCATTGGATCCACAGAGGCTCACAATCTTTTTCATCTATTTTAGAAGGAATAGATTTGGTATTTTTGTGTAAGCACGCTAGTGACTTTTCCTTAATTCTTTGTTCCTTTGGTCCTGGGTTCCACGCTTTTGTCCCTTCTAACTTAGCCCTGTTATAATCTGTGTCTGATGCCTTTACCTGCTATTCATTAGAAACTTGAGGACAGGAGAATCTTGATTTCTAGAATTCAAAATGAATAGGAGTCTCTTTTTAAAAGGGGATCAGATCAGAAATACCTCTTGTGCTATGGATAAGCTATAGTTTGGAAATTTTATGTGGAGTGTGAGTCTGAGAATTAGGAATTTAGATTTAGAATTGGTGGTCTAAAGATTTTGGCTTCTGCTTTATGGAATTCACCCAAACAGGTTGGTAGAATCAGGTGACTCACGACACAGGTGAAGGTAGCTAATCTTTAATATCCTAGCCAAGATTGTGAAGAGTGACAAACTTGGCAGATGGTGACTACATTTATTGTGGTGAGCACTGAGTAGTGTACAGAATTGTCAAATCACTATATTGTACACCTGACACTAACATAACATTGTAGGTCAACTCAACTTCAGTTAAAAAAAGCAAATAACCAAAAAAAGTCTATTTCAGAAAAGTGGACAATCTGGAAAACAGGCCATTTTATATCTCTAAGTATCTTCTTAAACCTTCTATAATGATTGAGAATGATCCATATATAATATCCAAAGCAGTGCAAAATATTGGAGCCAGCAGAGGCACCTGGGTGGCTCAGTCGGTTAAACATCAGACTTAGGCTCGGGTGATGATCTCAGGGTTCATGAGTTTGAGGAGTATGTACTTCAGAGTTTTCTTGTAATTTCTTATGACAAAGCATATTTTCTCACTTTATCATCATCATGTCCTTGTGATGAAAACATTATTGTTATCGAATTTTTTTTTTTAAATTTTTAATGTTTATTTATTTTTGAGAGAGAGAGAGAGTACAAGCAGGGGATGGGGAGAGAGAGAGAGGGAGACACAGAATCCAAAACAGGCTTCAGGCTCCGAGCTGTCAGCACAGAGCCCAGTGCGGGGCCTAAACCCACAAACCATGAGATGGTGATCTGAACTGAAATTGGATGCTTAACCGACTGAGCCACCCAGGTGCCCCTTCCCAAGTTTCTTAAAATTCATTTTCTTATTTTATTTTATTTTTATTTATTTTCTTTTGGAGAGAAAGAGAGAGAGAGCGAGAGCACATGGGTGGGAGAGAGGGGCAGAGGGAGAGAGAGAGAGAGAGAGAGAGAGAGAGAGAGAGAGAGGATCTCAAGCAGGCTCCACGCTGTCAGCACAGATCCTGATGCAGGACTTGATCCCATGACCCTGGGATCATGACCTGAGCTGAAATCAAGAGTCAGGCACTCAACCAACTGAGCCACCCAGGTGTCCCACCATATATATATATTTTTAGTGTTCATTTATTTATTCTGAGAGGGTAAGAGAGAACATGTGTGAGAGAGTGTGACTGGGAGTGGGGCAGGGGCAGAGAGAGAGAGGGAGAGAGAGAATCCCAAGCAGGCTCTGCCCTGAACAGCATGGGATTCGATCTCAAAACCTGGGGATCATGACCTGGGCCAAAATCAAGAGTTGGATGCTTAACCAACTGAGCCAGTCAGGCGCCCCACTGTTACTTTATTTTATAGATAAAATACTTTATTACTTTACTTTATTACTTTATTTTATAGACTGAGGCCAGAAAGTTTAGGTTCGTTGCCCCAAGGTCTCACACACAGTGACTAAGACAATCCAGGTCATCTGACTTCGGGTATCATCCACCTTCCATACATTTAAGTCTATATTTTGGTGGGCAAGTGAGATAAAGACGAAAAAAACCTACAACGTGTTCACATTCAGAAGCTTTCCTTTTCCCCCTGCCTTGCAAGAGGAAGTAGGCTTTTTGGATGTGTGGCCGCTTTTGCTCACGATGTGTGGGATCACATCTTAAGGAGGCAGTGGGGCTGAGGGATGGGCCCCCTGGCAAGGGCACAGCAGTCCTCGAGGGAAAGAAGAGCATTCCAGAAAGCAAAGCCAGAAGGGGGATGATAGCAAATGCCAGCCGAGGTCTGAGAGAGCGTGTTTGGGCAGAGGAGGAGTGTGGGATGGCACGTCTGTGCTCTCTGAGAGAGAGAGTAGGAAACGGATAGGGAGAGACAGTCCTGAGAAGTTTTATTATTATTATTATTATTATTATTATTATTATTACGAATGGAATGCTCACTGGGTGTCCTTTAAAGAAAATTCCAGCTAAGATTTTAATTGCTTTTAAGATTTCTTTGAAGGCCGGTTTGTTCTTTCTTTGGACTCAGCATCTCTCCACAGCTTTATGGGTGTTATAAGAGCTAAAAGCCCAAGACATGAGTCCAGGTTTTCACTCTCTCCTGTGCAGGGGAAAAGGGGCCAACAGTGTGCTTAGTCCCAGCTCAACAGCAGCAACCAGAACTTGTAGAGAAATGGGCCAGCGGAAGCATCCCCCTCACTTCCTCAGCTCCGTTGGCGGAGGTCACAGACAGGCTTGAGGCAAGAACCTCAGAGTTGAATTCTGAGGGTCTTTACTTCGGAAGTCCTTATTTTCTTCTTAAACCCAGGAAATTCTTCTTGGTGTTAATATGATCCTTCCCTGATTACATAATGATCACAAATATCACTTTATTCACAGGAAGAGAAGTAGCAGAGCTCTAAAGGGAGAATTATTTTTTTGCAGTTTCCCCCCATTTCATCGCTCGTGGTGAGTAAGCGTGGTCTTATGACTCAATTCCACTGGTGTAATAGCCTGGGCGGCAGTGCCGGCCATGGGTCGGGAGCCAGGGATGGAAATGTGCTGGAAAAGTGCTGCCTTAGCTGAACTGCTGACCTTGTCCCAGGAGAGGATATAGTGCGTCTCAGCCCAGTCAGGGTTGGGAACAGGAAAATCTGAGGCCAAAGGTAGACTCTGGCATATGACTTGTCTGGGCACTTCGGGTCTAATTTTGCTGAGAATTGGTATTTTATCAGCTGGTTTCAAGGCTGTTGGTTCACGGACAGGACATCGATTATTCACTAATGTCCAGAATGGGGCATCCATCCACGTGCTGACTGAGAGAGCAACACCCTGTAGTTTGAAAGGAGCAAATACTTTTTTCTCTTTTTAAATGTTTATTTTTGATGGAGGAGACAGTGCATGAGTGAGGGAGGGGCAGAGAGAGACAGACCCTGAATCCCAAGTAGGCTCCAGGCTCTGAGCTGCCAGCACTGAGCCCGACGCGGGGCTCGAACTCAGGCACGGTGAGATCATGACCTGGGTCGAAGTCAGACACTTAACCGATTGAGCCACCCAGGCGCCCCATGGGAGCAAATACTTTTCTTTCCTGTCCCTTGAGTGACTTCTTTCTGCGGCATGAGGCAAGTGTGCTTGCCAATGATGTACATTGCTTGTTCCAAGATACTGCTCAGTGCTTGATTAATACTGTAATTACAGATATTTGTAACTGGTAAGGACGTAAACCTTCTGCCCTTTGGTTGCGTATTTAGTGGCAACTTCCTTTCCCCTAAAATGACTCTTTCAAAAGGAATTGTTTTCATTTGGCTAAATAAACTTCGGTACGTGAGTTTTTCTTTTTTACCTTATTTTTTTAAGTTTATTTGTTTACTTTTGAGAGAGAGGGAGACAGGACCAGGGGAGGGGCAAGTAGAGGGAGAGAGAGAATCTCAAGCAGGCTCCATGCTGTCAGCACACAGCTCGACGCAGGGCTCGATCACACAGCCCTGGGATCATGACCTGAGCTGAAATCAAGAGTCAAGACGCTCAACCGAGTAAGCCACCCAGGCGCCCCAGTACGGGAGTTTTTAAAAAGTCAACCACATTGCCTTATGGTCTCACCTGTGCTGTTCATTTTTGCATCAGAGAGGACTGTTTGAATTGCAAGCAGCAGTTAAAAAGAGAAGTCGAACTAGCTAAAGTAAAACTTGCAGTTTAATACCTCCTGTGACTGAGGACAATGGATACACTGGCAAGGCTTGATGGTATGTCAGGGGCCCGTCTCCAGGCACCTGTGAGCCCTGCCATCCTCCTGGTGGGCTGCGGTTTTTTTCTGTGTTGGCAACACAGCAGCCAGCACAGAGCTGAAGACGTGCGAGTCACTGGAGCGGCTTAAGTAATTTGGAATTCATCTGCCGGAGCCTCGGTTTCCTCATTGGAAGGCAGAATAATGCCTCATCTGCAGGGTAGTGTGCGAATATTTAACGAGCTTGGGCAGGTGTGTACCTCTGTGGCTGAGAGCGTGGGTTCTGAAGTCACATCTGGCTCCATCACGTATTACGTTCCGTGTGTGAAATGAGGATGCTTTTAGTACCTGTGTCATAGTGTTGCTGGGATTTAAAGTGATTGTGTGTACGTAAAACCTCTACTAGGGTGCCTGGCACGTAGATCCACTCAAGAAATGGTAGCTGTTATTTAAGTAGACTTTTGAAACGTGACCATTGATGGTTTGAATGGAAAAGGTGAGCTCAGTCATAGGAAATGGGAAGAAAACGTCATGGACAGCGATTCACAATGGGGGCAATTTGGGTTTGCACAGCAAGGCAGACACCCACAGATGGTCTGGGGAAGAGCCTGTCAGTCAACCAGGAGGTCAGCACCTTGGGAAGTTCTGTCTGGAATGCTATGACTTTAGAAGTATGCTTTTATTTTATTTTTTTAATGTTTATTTAGTTTTGAGAGAGAGACAGAGAGACAGAGTGTGAGGTAGGGAAGGGGCAGAGAGAGGGAGACACAGAATCTGAAGCAGGCTCCAGGCTCTGAGCTGTCTGCACAGAGCCCGATGTGGGGCTTGAACCCATGCACCGCGAGATTATGACCTGAGCTGAAGTCGGACACTTAACCAACTGAGCCACCCAGGCGCCTCAGAGTATTCTCTCTCTCTCTCTCTCTTTTTTTTTTTAATAAGCAGGGGGAGGGGCACAGAGAGAGGAAGACACAGAATAGGAAGCAGGCTCCAGGCTCTGAGCTGTTAGCACTGAGCCTGATGCAGGGCTTGAACTCACGATGCCTAACTGACTCAGCCGCCCAGGCACCCCGGGAAGTATTCTTTTTGTAGAATTACAAATTAGAGTCTATCTTAGTGCTTTATACTTGATCAGTATTTGTTGCATTGACTTGAATTGCCTTCAGAGTCAGAGACTGTCTTGTTAACACGTTTGATGGTGGAAAATCTTCCTTTTATCAGAGCGGATTCTGTAATTCAGAGCCAAATCTAATGAATAAGGTGGGGGGATCAAGCTGAGTGGCTCTGATTCAGATTGTTCAAAACCCCAGTAAACTGAACCAGAGTGATTATTTTTTTTTCTCTGACTTAAACTGGCTTTTTAAAAAAGTGTTTTGATTTATTTTTGAGAGAGAGAGCATGGGCAGGAGAGGGGCAGAGAGAGAGGGGGACAGGGGGTCTGAAGCAGGCTCTGCATTGACAGCAGTGAGCCCGACGTGGGCCTCAAACTCATGAACAGTGAGATCATGACCTGAGCTGAAGTCGGACGCTCAACCAGGGGAACCACCCAAGCACCCCTGACACTGGCTTTTGAAAACAATGGTATGAGGAGAAAGTTGTAACACTGTAAGAAATCAGTTTCATAATTTCACATTTTACATATGGAATATATTAACAAATTATGGAATGCTTCTGCATTCTACGCATGATATTCAGTGCTGGGGTTACAGAGATCAGTAAGTATTAGCCCTTGGGGAAACCATTGTCCAGTGGGGAGAGACAGCAGAAGATCAGTCATCAGAATGTGGTGAGATCAGACCTGTGGAGCTCATTCAGTTTCTGTGAGCAGTCACAGGCGGTGGGTATGGTTGAAGTGGGGCAAGGGTCTGGGGTCTGGGAAGTTTTTAAAGTAGAGGTGATGTTTGAATGAGATGTTGAAGGATGTATATGGGCATACAAGAATAAAGAGGGTATACAGGTGCGTGTGCGTGTGTGTATGCTTCTGATAGAAATGCATGTGGGATAGCTTGGAGGCCATGATGTCAGGAGAATGTTCTAAGGAATGAGTAAGATCAAACAGATGAAATGCTTAAGGGCATTGCAGTTTTGATGTCTAACTAGGGTTAGCACTCAAAGAATACTTCTAAGAAGTCCGGTCTTCAAAGTCAGCCAACGAAAGGCAGTGAGCTGCGAGGCAGGCAGCAGTGGGTCCTGCCCGATGATCACTGTCAACAGTCTCTTGAGGGTTTTAAGATGAGTCGCCTGACGCTTCGTAGGTTTAAGTAATTTGCCTAAAGTCTTGTGGCTGCGAAGAAGTGGGAGTGGGATTTGAATTGGAGTCTGCCTCGCTCCGAGAACCGTACTTTACTAGGAGTGTCGTCTCATCTTTATCTGATGGCATAAGATTTCGCGCAGCTTCGGGCCCACCAACCCGAACATGGGATTGTGTGTATGGTCTGTAGCTGGAGACGAAGGGGCAGGTCCAGGCGCTGAGCGTGTGGACTGACCACAGGCAATGCTCACACTAGTAGTTTTCGGACTTCAGAGTGCCCCAGATTCCTTCCGGGGAATTCCTCTGATGGCTTCAGTTCTGAAGTCCCACTTCAGAGAGTCTGTCCTGTTGCGAAGCGTCTCGGGCGATTCTGATGCAGATGGTATGTGATTCACGCTTTGATGGCCATCCCCCTGAATGAATGTCTTCTGTGAACGTGGGTGTCTCTCTCCCTCTCGTCTTCCTTTCTCTCCCTCTCCCTCCTTCTCTCTCTCCCTTCTCTCCTTCCCTTCCTTCCTCTCTTTCTTTCTGCCTTTCCTTCCTTCCCCCCCGCTCCTCCCTCTTTTCCTTGCTTGCTTCCTTCCTTGTTTCCCCTTTCTTCCGAGGCTTCTCTTAATTGGGTTCCAATGACGCAAGGAGATCACTCATAAGTACTATTCCCTCTCTTTCCAGCAAGATCGTCTGTTCCTTGCAGGCAGAGATCCCACGTCCGTATGCCTTTTGCAGACACTCACCTGGGTGTGCTCCCAGGGATGAAAACATACACTGGGCACCCGGTGACACAGTTGGTCACTTTACAACGAGGCATTTTGAAACACGTGGTTAAGCCAAGGAAGGCACGCTCAGCAGTTTTTCATGTCGTCTCTGTGAACTGCCTGTGTACTTACCTCTCACGGTCTCTGTCTTTCCTGCTCCTCACACAATTCTGGAGGGTCCCTGATGGGAAGGACACAGACTGATGCTTAGCAGCGATTCCTTGCTGGTCCAGCCCTCGCTATTTCCCACAGCCCCCGGCCAAACCCCACCCCCTGGAAGTCTCCAGACCTGTGCTTCCCTCCTCATACTCGCTTCTTCGGATGCCTGTCTTGTGTTGCATTTCTGAAACGGGAAATCCCGTTTGCAGCTGGCTTAATATCTGGGGTACCCCCTCTTTCTGGGCCATGGCATGTCAGAGCCACGTGGATAGTCTGACCTTGTCCTATTTGGGCAGTTTTCTCCTCTGTGCCCTGGTGACAAAGGCCCGGCATTCCTGGCCTAGTGGATTCCTTGCGCGGTATCATACAAGTGATAGATTCCTGTCTGTTTCTCTGCTGTGGCCTGGGTGCCCAGATTCTGAAGTCAGGTTACATGGGGTCCAGCTTTGCTTGTGGACTGGGAGTGTGGGCATGTTTTAAAACTCCTTCAAGCCCCCATATCCTCATCTGTAAAATAAGGTGGTTGTGAGGTTCAGAACCAAATGATGCTCGGGAGTGCCTGCTTTAGGGTAAGCACTATTGCAATTATTGTTATTGGTGATAATTTTTTATTGTCCTTTTATGTCCTCAGTTGAAATTCTGTCAGTCTTGCAAAGCCCAGCTAGAGCTGTGCCTCATCCGCAAAGCTTTTTTGTCCACTCAGGTCCGCAGACAGCGCTGTCCTACATTCTCATGATCACTCAGGTCTAAGATTAATGTTTGATTGCCTTTAATATTTAATACTGTGTTCCTATTGCACTGGGTCCTAATTGGTTTTATTCTTGGTCTTGAGAAGTTCTTAAATGTGGCTAATAAAGACTGCCTTTTTCTTTTAGCCTCTCCACTTCTGGTTACGTAATTACATTACCTCTTCTTTCAGGTGTTATGTTTAAGGATGTATGGGTCAATTCCCTTAACACGAACCCATTTGGGATAAACTCATATACACTGCAGCATCTACACTGCAAATGACAGCATCCCATTTGCTGGGGGATGCCACGTGGGGGGTCCCATGTGGGCTGGCTTTGTGCTGCTTCTCTTACTAGATAAGGAGAAGGCCCTGGTTCGGGGAGAAGTGTTTAAAAAAATTTTTTTTAATGTTTATTTATTTCTGAGACAGAGCATGAGAGGGGGAGCAGCAGAGAGAGAGGGAGACACAGAATCCGAAGCAGGCTCCAGGCTCCGAGCTGTCAGCACAGAGCCCGACGTGGGGCTGGAACTCATGAGCTGTGAGATCATGACCTGAGCCGAAGTCGGACACGCTCAGCTGACCGAGCCACCCAGGCATCAGGGAGAAGTATTTTAAGGCTTGAGTGTTATGGATGGAAGGAAGACCTTGTTTTGACACCATTTCCTTCTGAAGTTAACTCTGAGCCCTGGATGCACCGGAGAATCACTGCAGAGCTTAAAAAAAAATACTGATGCCCCGGCCACATTCTGGGCCAGTCAGATCCAGAATCTGGGGGGGTGAGGGGGGGTGGGGGAGGGGGAGAACAGGGGCGGGGCAGGAGCGAGATGGCGGAGGTGCCCAGGTATATAGTATTTTTTTTTTTTAATTTTTTTTTTCAACGTTTATTTATTTTTGGGACAGAGAGAGACATAGCATGAATGGGGGAGGGGCAGAGAGAGAGGGAGACACAGAATTGGAAACAGGCTCCAGGCTCCGAGCCATCAGCCCAGAGCCCGACGCGGGGCTTGAACTCACGGACCGCGAGATCGTGACCTGGCTGAAGTTGGACGCTTAACCGACTGTGCCACCCAGGCACCCCTGTATTTTTAAAAAGCTTACCAGCAGGGGCGCCTGGGTGTCTCAGTCAGTTGAGCATCCAACTCTTGATTTTGGCTCAGGTCATGATCTCATGGTTGGTGAGTTCAAGCCCTGTGCCGGGCTCTGCACCTGACAGTGTGGAGCCTGCCTGGGATTCTCTGTCTCCTTCTCTCTGCCCCTCCCTTGCTTGCTCGATCTCTCTCTCAAAAATAAATAAACATTAAAAAAAAAAAAAAAAAAGCTTACCAGGTGGCTTTATGATGCTGTCCAGGTTGAGAATGGTGGAATTGCTCTAAAACCAGGTTCTCCAGCCCCTCCGCCTGGTGAACGGGCTTTGGTTTTAGTTACATGCCTTCATCCTGGTTTTCAGGGATACTGGCTACAATTAGCTTGCAGGAATTAGCTTTTAAGAGAGCCTGGATGTCTTAAGGGTCCAAACCATGCCGCAAAAGAGCGTTTATTATCTGAGAATGCCTTGCAACCAGGCTGCTCACGGACACTCGGTGTGCCTAGGAATAGAATTTTCCTTGCCCTAGGTCACTGGTGCCGTGGCAGACAAGTGACAGGGCTCCCGTAGGACCTAAAGTATTTATAGCTCTTACAGTATTTCCACAAGGTGAGCTTTGCCGCGGAGGCCTGAGTCGGGGCTGCTCAGAGTCACTAAGGTGCAGGAGTTGAACCCAGCTGCTGCAGGAAATAGCTCTTAGTGTGGAGAGAGGGGCTCAGGTGTCCTTGGCCGAGAACAGAACGCGGGGGAAGCCGTGGAGCAGACCCATCCGGGATTCCTCCTTCACCTTGTGTGAGATATTTTGCACAGGAATTGATTAAGACCTCTTAAAAACTAGAGGTTTTGAAGTATAATTTACTTACCATGAACTTTATCTGTTTTAAATCTACAGTTCAGTGAGTTTTAGTAAATTCACAGGGCTGTGCAGCCATTCCCACAATCCAGTTTTAGAATATTTCCATCACCCCAGAAAGATCCTTGGTGCCTGTTTGCAGTCAGTTCCTGTGCCCAGTTCACATCCAGGCAACCGCAAAGTTGCATTCTACCTCTATAGTTTTGCCTTTTCTGGACATTTCACGTGAATGGAGTCATACGATACGTAGTCTTTTGTGTCTGGCTTTTTTTTTACTTTAGCATAGCAATTCCGAGGTTCATCCAAGTTTTGGCCTGTGTCAGTATTTTTTTCCTTTTTTAAAGAAATTTTATTTTTTTAAATAGGGGCGCCTGGGTGGCTCAGTCGGTTGTGTCCAACTTCGGCTCAGGTGATGATCTCACGGTTCATGAGTTCGAGCCCCGCGTCAGACTCTGTGCTGACGGCTCAGAGCCTGGAACCCACTTCGGATTCTGTGTCTCCCTCTCTCTCTGCCCCTCTCCTGCTCGTGCTCTCTCTCTCTCTCTCAAAAATAAATAAACATTAAAAACGTTTATTTTAGAGGGAGAGAGAATGCGAGTAGGGGAGAGGGGCAGAGGGAGAGAATCTTAAGCAGGCTCCACACTCAGCGTGGAGCCAGAGCCCATGAATAATGACCTGGGCAGAAATCAAGAGTTGGACACTCAAGGTGGGAACCACCCAGGCACCCTGGTATTTTGTTCCTTTTTATTGCTAAATAGTGTTACATTGTATGGATATGCTACATTTTATTTATCCATACTCAGTTGACTGAGGTTTGGATTGTTTCCACTTTGGGACTTTTATAAACAATGCTGCTGTGAGCACTCAAGTTCAAGCTGTTGTATGGATGTATGTTCCCATTGCTCTTGGAGTGAACTTCCTGGCTTGCATGGTAAATTTATGTTAAGCTTTTTGAGAAACTGCAAATTTTGCAATTCCATCAGAAATTCATGAAGGTTCCAGTTTCTCTCCATCCTCACTAACCTTTGTTATTACCTGTCTTTTTCATTCCAGGAGGTGTAATGTGGGTTTAAGTTCACTGAATCATTTTTTTTTTTTTTTCTTTTTTGAATCGTGCTTTTGTTGTCTTATCTAAGAAATCTTTGCCTATTCAAGGTCATACAGATTTTTCCCTAGATTTTAGGATATTTTAGATTTTCTTCTTAATCTTTTATAGTTTTAGCTTTTACATGAGGCTTTGATTAATTTTGAGTTAATTTCTAAGTATGGTGTGAGTAGGGATATAAATTTTTTTTTTTTTTTTGCAGGTGGATATCCACATGTTCCAGTACCCTATTTCAAAAAGATGATCTTTTCTCCTTTGAGTTGCCTTGGTGCGTGTGTTGAAAATCAATTGGCTGAAAATGTAAGGGATTATTTCTGGACTCTCAGTTTTATTGCATTGATTTACATGTTTCTCTTTATGGTCAGTATCACACAGTCTTGATTACTGTAGCTTTATGATAAGTTCTGCAATTAGGAAGTATAAGTCCTCCGACTGTGTTCCAAATTGTGTTTTGGGTGCTCTAGGTTCTTGCCATTTCTCTGCAAATATTAGGACCAGCTTGTCATTGTCTGCAAAAAGCCTGCTGGGATTTTTTTTTTTTTTTTTTGGATTGTTGAATTTACTGATCAATCACTACCTCAGTGATATTGAGCTGTCTGATCCATGAATACAGATCTCCATTTATTTAGATCTTTAATTTCTCTCAACAATAATTTGTAGTTTTTGGTGAACAAGACGTCAATCAATATTTTTGGAGTGGTCCTGATAGGAAATTTCTTTTTCTTCCCTTCAGAGATCTCATTGAAAACAATGGAGGGGGTCACAGCTTAGCAGCCAGGAGCGGGAGGTGGGGTGGAGAGTGGAAAAGGCACCAGTTTGGGCGACGGGAGGACTGGCTCTAATCTGGGGCAAGCCATTTCACCTCTCAGTTTGCTGATCCCTAAAATGAGTGTAATGTAGTTTGTTCTGCTTCAAGGTTGTAAGGTTAGAGGTAATGTGGGGAAGGAGCTTGGAAAAATGTTGTCTGTCCTGTGATGAGGCTGATACGGCCATTAAAGGGGACACGAAGAACTAACAGAAGAAGATGCTCTGAGAGACCTCATCTTGGCCACTGAGTCTCTTTGCAGCTCGAGGCAGAGGCCAGTGAATCGCAGCGAAGTGAACATACCATCTCACTTGATCGCCAGACAACTCATTGAATTAGCTATTTTCATCCACATTTTGCAAAATGGAAACTGATGTTCAGAGAGGTAAAGTCAAGTTTCCAAGGTCACAGAGCTAGTAAGACGCAGTGCAGGATTTAAACCCAGCCTTGTGTAACCTCAGTGCTTCTGCCTTTCCACGGCACATCACCACCCTCGCTATCACCACCAGCTCCCATCAGGGAATCTACAAGGCAACGTTAAATCTCAGGCACAGCACAAAACTCCTCAAAGGATAAATGAACACTGATAAGTGGTTAATGTATCTTGCTTATCTTTCGTTCTTCACATGTTAAAGGTTTAGTTTTGTCTCAAGATTCAGGAAGGCAGATGTGATTTCCATCACCAAGGATTAGGTGGGAAAACCAAGCTGAATTCGTAAGGGTTGATCATAGTGAGCTTTTATTTATATTTTTTAAAAGCTTATTTATTTTGAGAGAGATAGAGGCAGCACCAGTGGGGGAGGTGTGGAGAGAGAGAGATTGAGAGAGAGAGAGAGAGAGAGAGAGAGAGAGAGAATGCCAAGCAGGCCCCACACTGTCAGTGCAGAGCCCAACATGGGGTTGGAACCCATGAAACCGTGAGATCCTGACCCGAACTGAAACCAAGAGTTGGATGCTTAACCGACTGAGCCACCCAGATGCCCCAGATCATAGTGAGCTTTTAAAAAAAGTCATTTGGGTTACGTGGCTATATAGATCGAGATGAAAGGCAACCTTTTTTCCCAACACTTATTGTGATCTGACTTGAGCTCTGAGTTGCACCTTATAGCTTCCATTTTCTCAGCGGTGATAGCCCTGGTGAGAGGAAGGTGGAGTTTGTGGCAATGTGAGATTTCAGATTCAGGGTTACAGATGTCCTCTAGCTGGCTCCTCTGGGCTTGCTCAACAGCAGCATACGTACCCACAGATGCAAGTAGACCTGAGTCTACACGGATGGGTCACCCACTGTTTTCTCGCTTCCCACGCAGGAGATCTGGGTCTGCTTTCTAGCAAATCCTTTAATATGGCAACATGGAGAGTGCACAGGCTTTTGGAATCAGACGAGTTTTTGTTCCATTTCCACCATGCGCTAGTTTTGCGATCGTGGGAAATGGGCTTAAATGATCTGAGCCTCAGTTTGTTCATGTAACATGGTGCAAATAATTGCCATGATGATTACAATGAGACAAAGTCTGTACTTTGCTTATTAGTGGCAGATATGTAATATGTTCTAGACAAAGAGAGTCCTTTTGCTCTTTCTACTGGAGTTACACATGATTAGATTTAATTGTAAAGAAATCTCACTGTGGACAAGTGCATTAGTCTTCTTTTGCTGCAGTAACAAATAGCCCCCAAAGCTCAGTGGCTGAAAATCACGTACACTTAATTTCTGGCTCATGTTATCTGAGGGCTGAATTAATGCTGCCTTTCCTGGGCTTCCCTGGGTTATGTTCTGCTCTTTGTGTCCTCGCACTTCGGGATCCCAGTTGAAGAAACATGCTGTTCTCATGGTGAAGGACAGAAACTCCAGAGAGCCGGAGCCAATCTGTAAAGCATATTTAAAGTTTCTGCTTGGACATCGTGTGTATCACATCTGCCTACATCCATTGTCATACGGCCAAGGCCAAAGTCAATTGATGGGTAAGTATAATCTGCCTAAAGGGAAGCATGGCATGGGCTTTCTAAATAAATAAACAATCTTCCTTAAGAAGTGAGAATTTTGGCAATTCTTGGGGTAATTCTTGGTAATCTGAGGAATAATCCTTATATACATGGAATAGCCGGGCTTCTTTATTTTTAATTTTTCCCTTTGGCTGTGGCGGTTTGTTTGCTTGCTCTTTCAGGTTTTCTTTGTAAAAGCAGAGCCAACGAAAAACAATTTGTCAGAGTCTGAGAAAAGACTTTTGTGTTTTTCTTCCTCCTTCTCATTCTTCTCAGTCACTTGCCGTTCATCCCTTTTTACTCATCTAAACGTGGGCTTGCTTCGGCCTCTCTTCTCCCTGGACACTCTTTTCTCCAGGTAATCTCATACGGAAGTCTGGCTTCAGCAGACTGCTCACCGAGGCATCCTGTGTCAACATTTGCAACTGAGATGCCACGGAACTGTCCACTCATATCGCCAGCCTGGCGTCTCTCCTGTGCTGCCGTATGAATCTCAAGGTAATAAAACCCAGCTCCGGTGACTCTAAGCGTCCCTTCTAGGACCGGACCGTCCAGCCAGTTGTGGACATCGAGCCCTGCAATTCATCCTTGCTACCTCCCTCTCCCTCGCTGTCTTATCCAGTCCTTTGCCAATTCCCTGTCTTTACCTCCTAAGGGCCTCTCTGGTCATCTACTTCTCTCCATCCCCACTGCCACCAGGAAACCACGATCCTCCTTCATCTGGACTCTTGCAGTATCCCCCAGTTGTCTCCCTGTATCCTTGCTTTCTGCTTCTAATTTGATTTCTTCATGACAGCCATAGCCAGAGTCATTTTTTAAAGGATTTACATTTGGGGTGCCTGGGTGGCTCAGTCAATTAAGCGCCGGACTTCGGCTCAGCTCATGATCTCTCAGTTCGTGGGTTCAAGCCCCACGTCGGGATCCGTGCTGACGGCTAGGAGCCTGGAGCCTGGAGCCTGATTCGGAGTCTGTGTCTCCCTCTCTCCCTGCCCCTCCCCTGCTCATGCTTTGTCTCTCTCTGTCTCAGAAATAAATAAACATTTAAAAAAATTCAAAGATTCACACTTGGTCATATCTGCCTTGGGCTTACAGCCCTTCAGTGACTTCCTGTCTTTCCATAGCCCTCAAGGTCCTGCATGATCTGGCTTTTTTTCTGTCTCTCGCACTTTGTTTTGCAGCACTCTTGTCTATACTGTAGCTATGGTGTTCTCCCCTTTTGAATCCTTCCATGTGTCACGCCCTCACCTCTCTTGGGGACTTTGCACATGCTTCCCTCTGTTTGAAATGTTTTTACCCTGACCTCCATCCTTGAAATCCCAGCTCAGAAGTCTCTTGCTTGCTGAAGCACTCCCTAGCATCTCCAGGCTGAGAGGTTTGTTTTCTCTTCTATGACCACAGTTTATGCGAATTGAATGCATCTTGTGTTCTTGTTTGCTTACGTGAATCTCTGCCTGGGTTTCAAGGTCTGAGGGCCAAGTTCTGTCTCATTCTCCAGACACTGTTTTGTTTGTTTGTTTCTCTTTTGAGCTTAAACTATGCACAAGCCATCTGTAAGGTTTAGAGAAATCAAAATTCGCTGCTCGTGGAGCTCTTTTGTACTAAAACTCATAATCACAAACATCAAAATTGGGAGGTAGCAGGGATACCTCTGGTCCATGGCCTTTATTTTTATTAATGACAAAACTGAAGCCTGGAGAGAGCAAATGACTTGTTTAAGGTCATGCAGCTGGTAGGTGTCAGGTAACATTAGATTGTCCGAGTACCATCTGAAAGGGAAGGTTTCCATAAGGGGTCGGGTGGGGGGGATGGGGGGGTTGGGATGAAGGTGGAGGGGAGGGGTGGTGGCTAAGATGGCTTATCTTTCCCTGAAGGTACCATTTTTCAAAGGCTTATTTTGTGCCAGGGGTTGGGTATTAGCTCCTCATAGAAATAATCTCTAAATTTTAGGACCACACACGAGTTTAATCCCCATTTTAACTTGAGGGAAAATGAGAGTGACAGAGATTACAATGTGTTCAAGGTCCACGAAGCTCATGAGGAAATATCTCAATGCCTCGATAACAGTGATCCTTAACGCTGATTTCTTTTTACGTGTTGTTTGTTGGGTGGGGATGAGGGCTTGAGACGAGATCAGCCTAAACGGATTTTCACTGACAACTGGTAATCCCAAAGAGGCTTCCTAGTAGGAGACTTGCAAGGTTTCAGGGCTTCAGTGTAAAGCCATAATCACATGGCCTTCAGTGAGAGGTTTATAGAGCTCCCACCAAGTGTACCCACGTGTACGGGCCAAGTTCAGTGAGGTGAAGAACTATAAGCCATGAACTGCTTCTGAGGGAGACCAGATCAAAGGATCAGGCCTATTCTTATCCACCTTGCTGACTGGGAACATGCCTATGGTCACTTCAGTGAGTGGGCATCCAAGTAGACCCCAAGTCATACACCAGACTGTATTGTTCTTTTTTTAAAAAAAATGTTTTATTTATTTTTGAGAGAGAAAGCACGTGAGCAGGAGAAGGGGCAGAGAGAGAGAGAGGGACACAGGATCCAAAGCAGGCTTTGCGCTGGTAGCAGTAAGCCCTGATTTGGGGCTCGAACTCATGAGCCATGAGATCATGACCTGAGCTGAAGTTGGACGCTCAACCAACTGAACCACCCAGATGCCCCCAGACTGTGTTTGTTTTAACTAAAAAAATTTCTTAATGTTTATTTATTTTTGACAGAGAGAGAGAGAGAGAGAGAGAGAGGGAGAGAGAGACAGAGCATGAGTGGGGGAGGGGCAGAGAGACAGGGAGACACAGAATTTGAAGTGGGTTCCAGGCTCTGAGCTGTCAGCACAGAGCCCAACTCGGGGCTCGAACTCACAGACCGCGAGATCATGACCTGAGCTGGAGTCAGACGCTTAACCGACTGAGCCACCCAGGTGCCCCCCCCCCAAAATGTTTTTAATGTTCATTTATTTTTGAGAGAGACAGAGCACACGTTAGTGAGGATGAAGGGGGAGGGGCAGAGAGAGAGGGAGACAAAGAATCCAAAGTAGGTTCCAGTTCTGAGCTGTCAGTACAGAGACTGATGCAGGGCTCGAACCCAAGAACCATGAGATCAAGACCTGAGCTGAAGTCAGGCGCTCAACCGACTGAGCCATGCAGGTGCCCCCAGACTGTATTGTTCTTAAGTATTAATCTCTTGGCCTAAATAATTGGTCTGCTTAAGAAACCAGTTAGCTGCACCCTTTCCTAATCTGATCCTTGTCAATCACCCAGCACTGCCTTCAGATCGCCCCAGATTCCCACTGGGTCCTCCCTCAATCCCCCCGCCCCGCCCCCCAACGCTGCGACCGCAGCAGTATCAGAACTTATTGCCGGAGTGGATTGCCAGTGTGCTGTCTCCACCCGTCTGGCGGCTTGCAAAGAGCAGATAATCCTTTTAAATCCTTTATTCTTAATAGTAATAGATGATCTGTTTGGCCTTATTTTCTAACATTAGCTTTCAGACTGCCTGTATCAAATCCACAGGTTTTGAATTTGAATCCTAGAGACAAAGAGCGGTTAGCAACAGGAAAGAGCTGATGGCAGAATCATGCAAAATCAAATCTGGAAGAATTAATTTTGTCAATTTCCCTAACAGGGCCGTCTTCTTTGCACCGAGCGACAGATGATATTGGTAGTGAAAACACAAAACACGGAGTCAAGAAGAACTGGTCGCTTCACATGTCGGTCCTGCCGGGCACTAACAAGGTGACATAGGATGACTGCTAACCTTTTTAAACCTTAGTTTTCGTATTCATACAATGGGACAGTAAGATCTTTCAAGGCTGCAGAAAGGCTTTGTGAGTTGGAACTCGCTCTACAGTCTGAGGTACCATTCTGGGTGGAGCCCAGTCCCCTCCTCCTCGGGCGGAGCTTTTGTTTGGGGAAACTGAGGAACCGGGGGTGGGGGGGCGTGGGGTTGTGTGCACTGTTGCCCACGAGGTATCCTCAGCTCTGTTGTGACCTTAAAATCTCAGAGATGGCAGCTGTGTAGATGGAACAGAGGGCCCTTCCCCACAGCCAGGGCTTGGTTTTTTCAGGCAAAGATCTGGCAGGAAGGGGAACTCTCAACAGATGTGCTGATGGGCAGAGGGGAGGGTGAGTGGACAGTGATGTCACCTTCCTGTGTTAATCTCAATTACACAAGCCTAAATTACCCATACTCCTCACTAAATGGCACCTTCTCATCGTCTTTCCATGTTAAGCCCTTCCCTCTTTAAATTTAATATCCTTGGGGCGCCTGGGTGGCTCAGTCGGTTAAGTGTCCAATTTGGGTTCAGGTCACAATCTCATAGTTTGTGAGTTTGAGCCCCGTGTCGGGTTCTGTGCTAACAGCTCGGAGCCTGGAACCTGCTTCAGATTCTGTGTCTCCCTCTCTCTCTGCCCCTCCCCTGCTCATGCTCTCTCTCTCTCTCTCTCAAAAACAAACATTAAAAAAAATAAATTTAATATCCTTTAACCCTCATTCTCACTCACCATTCATTGAGTGATATTCATTGAATGTGTTTATTTATTTATTTTGTTTTTAAATGTTATTTATTCTGAGAGAGAGTGCAAGTTGGGGAGAGGCAGAGAGAGAGAGAGGGAGAGAGAGAATCTCAAGCAGGGATGCGGGGCTCAAATAATGCCCCGTGAGATCACGACGTGAGCCAAAATCAAGAATTGGATTCTTAACCGACTGAGCCACCCAGGGGCCCCAATGAATGTGTTTAAAATTGCATTTGACAGGTGTGTGAGTGGTATGGTGTTGTAATCATTCAATTAGTCAACAAAATGTATTAAGTGCCTCTTTTATGGTAGGCTCTGTTCTAGGCCTTGGGGGACATCAGTGAACAAAACAGGCAAAAATTCTCACTCACATAGTAAAAGGTGGGAGTGGGGAGATAGTACTTACTACCTTTCACTTATTACATTTGATTGTTGTCTGAGGTAGAAATAGAGCTGAGTGAGGGGGACCAAGGGGTATGTGTGTGTGTGTGTGTGTGCGCGCGCGTGCGCGTGTGAGGGCGCGTGCGCGTAGAGGATTTTGAATGCTTATGATTCTAGATGGAGGGAGTAGCCAGTGCAAAGGTCCTGTAGGAGCATCACCACCCTGCATGTGTTGACTACAGCAGGGTGGCTGGTGAGGCTGGGCCAGAGTGAGCACTGGGGACAGGGATGCTGTCAGGGAGGTAGAGGGAGTGTGGGGGGTGGGGGAGGAAGATCATCTAGGGCCTTGTGGGACATTGTAAGGACTTGTGTGCTCTCAGGGTTATAGAGTATTGTTAGGGCCCCCCCCCGCCTTATTTTTCCACTCAGCATTGTTTTCAAGATCCAGCCGTGTTGCCAAACGGACAGCTAGTCAGTTGCTTGTGCCATTCTGTAGCACTCTATAAATTTTACCTGCTCACTCATCCAGCCTCCTGCACTTGATGTCCTCATGTGGGTTCCATCACAGGCCTGTGTGATCGTTTCTGTGGGCGACACACAGGGGCCTGGGCAGACTTGCTAGGTCACAGGGAGGCATACGCTTAATTTGGCTTAAGTAGCTCCAGATTGCTCTCCAGGCTGTCTCTACCCGACTGTGCTCCTTCAGCGGCGCACCAGGGTCCCCGTAGCCCCACATCCCTGCCAAACGAGACGTGATCCAGCTTTCCATTTTTTGCCAATCTAATAAGTAGGAAGTCCATTGTTCTAATTTGCATTTTTCTGATTATTAACGAGCGTGAACACCTCTTTATGTGCTTGTTAGTTTTTTGAGTTTCTTCTTTTATAAGTTGCCTGTTCATATTCTTGGCCAATTTTTCTATTGGGGTTCTTATTTTTTGTTTTTTTTTCAGGAGTTCTCTTAGATTCTGAATATCATCCATAGTTGTTTTCAGGAGGTTAGATTTGAGGTGGCCTTTGAGGTAATCTAGTCTAACCACCCCATTTTACGGTTGAGGAAACTGAGACCCAAGCAATGAAATGACTTGTTAAAACACACACATAGTGGAAAAGCTGAGACTGGAGGTCAGTACTTTTCACGCCGTATCGTATGGAGTGGAGGTCCTTTTACGAGGCAGCGATGGCGGGAGGTGGTGGGCAGGAAGTGTGGGGTGTTGCTGGCTCCCTATCATCGACACTTCTTTAGGCAGTGGGGCCATGTGCCCTGACTGCTGGCAGAGGCCAGTTCTGGATCCAAGAGGCCCTTGGTCTGATGACTGTTTCCTCCTTTCCATTCAAACTGTTACTATTTTATTTCAAGATGTTATCTCCTCCCGCTCGACCAGTGTTTCTCAAATTTTAGTGGTGTGCAGGATTCACCCAGAAAACATACTGTAATGCAGATTCCCCCTCCTGAAGATGGAAGCACTGAGTGATATTTAGGACCCTGATGCAGGTGGCCCACGGACCTCATTTTGCGAGTACTCTGCCCCAAACAGTGCCATTAGCCACCTAATTGTTCTTCTGTCTCCATCCCAGAGCACTGCATCTGCCTTCTGGGCCTCCAAACAGAGCTACTGTCATTCCAGAACATCTCTCTCTCTGTCTGCCAGGCTTTCACCTTTAACACCCACCTGAAGTTCTCCTTCCTTTCGGAAATTCTGTGATTCTCAGGAGCCGGGTCAAACATGGTCTTCCTTAGAAAGCCCTCTCTGATTTTTCTGAGAATCAAGTTCAGGGTCACAGTATGAATGATGACATATGGCAGGAAGTAGGAAGAGCCCCCTCCCCGGCATGTTGCCCTTTGAAATCCTGGTGGACAGGGGCACCTGGGTGGCTCAGTCGATTAAGTGTCTGACTTCGGCTCAGGTCATGATCTCATGGTTCGTTGGGCTCTGTGCTGACAGCTCAGAGCCTGGAGCCTGCTTCGGCTTCTGTCTCCCTCTCTCTTTCTGCATCTCCCCCGTTTGTGCTCTGGCTCTTTCTGTCTCTAAAAAATAAATAAATGTTAAAAATTTTTTTTAAAATTTTGAAATCCTGGTGGACACCCCTTTGTGCAAAGTGGTGAAGGACACCTCTTGAAGGTAGCAACACCCTGCAGCAGCCAGTCTTTTTTTTTTTTTTAATTTTTAATGTTTATTTTTGAGAGAGAGACAGAGAGAGAGAGGGAGGGAGGGAGAGAGAGAGAGAGGGGGAGGGGCAGAGAGAGAGGAGACACAGAATCTGAAGCAGGCTCCAGGCTCTGAGCAAGCGGTCAGCACAGAGACCGACGCGGGGCTCGAACTCACAGACCGTGAGATCATGACCTGAGCCGAAGTTGGATGCTCAACCAACTAAGCCACCCAGGCGCCCCAGTCTTGCCTTTTTTTAAAAGAAACACTCATTTTTTGTAATCAAATATATATGTACATAGTTTATTTAAAGAGTTGTAGTTCTACAAAATTTGTTATGGAAAGTGGCAGTCTTCCATCATTTCCTTGTGTTGTTTTTTTTTTTCACTCGCTAGAGGCAGACGCATGAAACGCTTTTGGCTGATTTTTTTCGTTTGTGTTTTTGATATCACCAAAGAATATGGTTATATTGATCCTGTCTTTGATTTTTTCAGTTTTAGGCACTTTGCCTGACTTCCCTTTGCCGAGAATCAGGCTTTACCCTCCCATCCTGCCCCTGTGGCTCCACACGTGCCCCTCCCCACCTCCCAGGTTCTATCTTTGCCCGTTTTTGCGGACTCGTTCTCCCTGCCTCAGTGCCCGGGGCTCTTCCGGCCATGGCCACCAGCTGTCCAGGTCAGAAATTTGGGCCCCTCCTTAACTCCCTTTTCTCTTAATCCTCTACCCATTTTTCCGCCACCTCCCACTCCTGCAATTCTGTCAGCTCTGCCTCTGACAAAGCTCTTAAACCCATCCAGTTCTGTGTGTATTGCCACAGTCCCTGCCCTGTCACCCTCCCGGCTTGCTCAGGATACGGCAGGTGTCCTAGTCCCCTTGCTTCCTGTCATCCCTCCCTCTTCTGTCTTCTTGACCTTACAGCCAGAGCGAGCTTCCCCAAAATGCCAACTGGACCATGCGATTCTCGTGCTTAAAACTTTGAGCGCACGGGGGAAGTTTCGAATTCCTTATCGTGGTGGGGTGGACACAGTACTTTGTTTCCCGTGGCATCGTGTCTTGCTGGCACACAGACCACCTTTGCTCGCTGTGAAGGTGGGGGTCGCGTGAAATGTGAGGGGAAGCAACGTGTCCTTTCCAGGCCCAGGGAGTTGAGAGCAACACGCTTAGGATGCCTCTTCTCTCTTCTGCGAGGGGCCTCCCAGGCCCATGTTCCAGAAGCTGTAGTTACAGAGTTGGTGGGGGGGCTTCCCTCCCCCCCATCGGACTTTACACAAGTGAGAAATAAGTCTTGGTTACACTGAAGCCCACGGAGCTTTGGGGTTGTGTGTGGCTCGGTATAGCCTGTCGTAACCTGGAGCGACACCAGGAATGAAGAAGGCCCTCTGGGGCCTGGCCTTGCTTCTCCCCGATATTATTTCTCTTCTCCTTGCCGTGGGCTCTGTTTTCCAGCTTTGACAGGCCAGGCTCTCTCCTGCTTCCAGGCTTCACATGTGCAGTTCTTGTCGCTAAGAATGTCTTCTCGCAAGGGGCGCCTGGGTGGCGCAGTCGGTTAAGCGTCCGACTTCAGCCAGGTCACGATCTCGCGGTCCGTGAGTTCGAGCCCCGCGTCAGGCTCTGGGCCGATGGCTCAGAGCCTGGAGCCTGTTTCCGATTCTGTGTCTCCCTCTCTCTCTGCCCCTCGCCCGTTCATGCTCTG